CGCCATATTTCGAAAGAGTTGTACAGAATCCATTTCTACTTGCTCTATAATACAGTATTCAGTACTCAACGGCGATCGCTTATCTCATGGATAATATGATACTTAGCATTACATTACGTGCTTTTAGTTTTTGTATTTGTAATGTTTAGTATAGCACTCTTTCATAAATCTTGTCTCTTGTGTTGGAGCACAATAGCTGAAGTGTGTTTAATACCTTCAGTTGGTGTGTGATGACAATGAAGATTACTGCTTGTGTGGGGGGGACGCGGTGGGATACCCCCGTGATGAAACCGATGCATTTAGCCAAAGTGGTCTGAGTGTAGTAATCGCGCTGAGCACATAATTCTACACTTAGCCGCGCAAAACATATATGCCAAGTTCCCCCCAGTCCAGTGGTTCTAAACCTTTTTGAGGATGTTACACACAAGTCACGTTCACTATAAACAATTATCCCTCAAAAGTTTAGCATAAAAAGCTACTTACATATTAACCATTGCATTTATTGCCTTAAATTACGGAAAAGTAAGACTATTTTTAGTTACTTTCAATAAAAAACACCTATTTTCGGCAAGGTTTTATTAAATTATGACTTGACATACGTTAAGGAGACAAGTGATATTAGTGCAAACAATTTTGAGATGTTTGGTGCGCTTTCGGCCAATCCACAACCTCCAAGTTCATTCGGTTTCTCGCTTTGTTTTGGGATATCTGATCGAACATGAACAGGTGTCAGAGACTTCACATTTGTTTCAACCATCCCTTCCAAGTTCGCCCTGGATGACAGTTTCCCACTATCACTTTAGATCGATACCTCGTGAAACTAATCGCCAGTTTCTTTCGTTCTATTTTGTAAACATTTGCTCGTTTCTTTACCTGGTCGGGTGGTTTTTATTCCAGCGTCGATGCTCACCCAACCCTGTAATTCGACCCAGCGAACGACTGCCTCACTCAAAAGGATAACAATTGATGAGCAAGCCGATGGAGGCACTATCAAGGTATGCTGCTTTGTCGGCTTGTGTTCGCATTTGGGGTAAGCAAATATTTTGCCGAAAATTGTCTATTTCCGACTACTCACCAATAATTAGGCACTGATGACTAATCAATGATGATTAGGTAGTTAGTTACATGTTTTGATACAAATGGTTTTGTTACTAATTGGGGTTGGCAACAGATTGACGACGCAATCCTCGTAAAATTCCATTTTGTCCCTTTGGGGGTAATTACCCCTAGGTTGAGAACCACTGCCCTAGCCATATCCTTGGCTAAGATTAAGCAAGTTACAGAAGAGAAAATGTGTAGATGGTTGATCACAATCCAGGGCCGAAAAGTGAAAAGTAAAATGTGAGGTCATGATTACTCGGGTGAGGCCAAATAATAGGCACAGTACTGAATCAATACAGAGTCCGTAGAACCAACTCAGGTTTAACGTGACCAGTAAGGTGAAGTTAGGAGATTAACTGAAGACGACAAAGACAAGGCCGGTGGGACTCTCATATGTGAGTCATTCACACACACACACACACACACACACACACACACACACACACACAAAGAACTACAGTCCAGTGGCCACGGTGTACGTGTCTAAGTTGGTAACTAAGGTACACAACGTACTCGTGAGTCTGAAGGGGACAGGACAGCCGCCTCAGCTACTTGGTGGTCAATGATGAGTCGACAGGTCGTTTGAGCTATCATCAAGTAGGTCAGAGCATGGTGAGGAACCAGTCGCATGAACGACTATGTGAGGCAGACACACGTTCATTAGGACGTCCTTCTCAGAACAACTTAAAAAGGACAGAGATCCGAAGCAAGCTAATGTCGCTCAAATGCCACCACTAAGGGAGAGGATGAAACAAGTGTTAGCAAGATGGTTAAATGCTGGTGGGACAACATACGAGCACGGGAACACGCAAAACAAGCGATCAAGTGAAAAGCCCAGATGTCCAGAAAAATGGAAATTCAGTGCCCAGACAATAGTAAGCTTAACTGCCACGTACTCTTTAAGCTTCTCCTTACCGATCGGCACGTAAGTAGTCGACGGTAAGAATTGGATCATGTCCATTCGTTTAATAATCTGAATTTGCTCTTCTTCTGTCAATCGGGAAGCAGGGATAGAAAGTCCAGGGTTGAGGTGAAAAACCGGCACCTGTGCATGAAAAAACAGATTGCTGACACAGTAGCTGGCACATACATAACGAGCAAGAAATCATCAACTCCACATGGTCAGGTTTCAAAACAAACATCGCAAGTAAAAGCAAACCAGACTACGACAATGTGATGATGCAGAAAATGAAAGAACTTAGGAGTGTGCATCCAAGCCTGTAGCCGCCGAAAAATAGACGGATGGAAACTGTGGAATCATCCAGATAAAAACAACAAATGCGGGCTGGCGGCCCGCAGAGGAGCGATGACCAAGCAAGTGCATTAAGTGCCGAAGGGGGGCTTTCGCACCCCTAGAAAAGCATATAAAAGTAAAACCCGAAGATGAAGAATAAAGCAACGCGCTGGCAACTTGCATCGATGTTACGCTGTCACGCGACCACCACAAGAAATGGTCCTCCCATCTTGCGTTATAGGCGTTGCACGTCTAGTTTCGGCTCGCACGCAATCACGGAACACAGGCCCGGCACCGTCGACAAGTCTACCTTAAGCAAAGAGTAAACATAATTCATCCGCTTCTATTTGGAACCCACGAACCTCGGCAAGAGTGACATGCTTCAAATTTCGCACTTTGTTACAGATCGGTCAGTCGACAGTGCTTGTCCGAACAGTAGATTCTATTGCTGTGGTTTCCACTGACTGTGCGGATAACCTGCTGCTACTGCGCAATTTGGCAGGCAGATTTCCCAAAAAATGTATTGAACACCCGGCAAGCAGTATATGCAAGCAAATAATGGGATCAAGAAAGAGGCATCAGCAGTATACCGATACGCAGTACGGATGCTTGGCTGCCGCCCAAAAACCACTGGTCGCATGTGGCCTATGGATACTGCGAGGGCCACCCTGCCTCTACGCAGGCTTGAACTCGCGCCGTCAGATTACAAGACAACGGGGTTAAAAAATAGTTAACAAGAGAATGGCAGAGCTGGAATTTCCTGGATTTCAGCAACTACTAAATGCCTGATAATGTGCTTGTTGGTTGCCGAAAGAATGTGCTCACTGGAGGGCTTCAAGGTAGATAATCCTTATTGGTAACCTTCGAGGTGAAAAGCCTTCAATGATTCGCTCTCACTGGCTATCCAAAAAGCTTCAGGCTGCGTCAGAGTGAAATCGCTCCGGGTTGCTTGCGAGAGGGCCCTGCTTCAAAGGCTGCTATGGGTAGACTCCCTTACCCCCTTCCCAGCGAAAAATAATATTCTGAGACTAAGACAGTAGTTAAGAACAAGTAGAAAGGTTTCTGTACAACTCTATCGAATTATGAACAATCAAAAACATTTAATTGCGTATCGTTAGAGGTAGTGTTTGGTCAGTTAATGGTTTATCCTTGTTCGGTTAGGAATTCATATTGGTGTCATTATTTCCGGGCATACGATGTAATTTGTTTGTGTTGCATGTGCACCGTTTCACAAAGCACAGGTTTCCGAAATAATCGTTGATACGCGTTTTAAAAAACTTCACAGAATCGGCCTTCTGGTAGTGTATTCCATAAGTTTGTGATTCTTCGTTCTATACAAAACTGATGTGAGACCTTGTTCATGCTGGGGACCCTGAGTTTGTAACGGTGTCGTCAGGTGTTACAGGGTTCCCGCAGATGAAATATTGGCCGCAGTATGAGGAAATGATTCAAGTGTAGTACTCAATGGGTCATAATAACGGCAATCCTTATTCAGCGGTAGGATAGTGTGTAGAGTCCGAGTCTGTCACGTCTTTCATACGGAAGCCTACGTAGACTCGGTATCAGGTTAGTTGCGATATGCTGTATTTTCTCCAGCTTTTCACTTTCCCACTGGCTTATCGGATGGTAAGCTGGGGCGCCGTATTCAAGGATTGGTCTAATGTGCGAGGTGAATAGGGACGGTTTCTTCGGGCCATGTGGAGAAACTGCGTCATAATGCCCAGAGCATACAAAGTTCCGCACGGTACAATTGCTCTATATTTTCTAGTGATCTCATATCATGTCGTGAGAGAACTCCTAAGTCTCTGACAGATGTGTTAGAGTGGAGCGACTGGCCGTCCAAAGTGTATGATCGAGTGGCTGGACGTCTGGCGATACTGATGAACTCCGACTTGCTTGTGTAAGGATGGTTGCATTTCGGTGGACCACTTTGACAGTCGATCCAAGCCATGCTGGAGGCGAGCGCAGCAATCTTGGTTCTCAATGATCCTCCACATTTTCAAATCATCTGCAAACATGGCACATGATGACTGGAGCTGCTGCGGGAGATCGTTGATATGAATAAGAAATAATACTGTCACAAGTACAGTTCCTTGAGGCACGCCACTAGTCGATGGGAACCAGTCTGTCAGGTAGTCATTGACCTGTACTCTAAACTTTTGTCCCACAATAAACTCGTGTAACCAACGAAGTAGCATGCCACCGATTTCGTATGTCCTCAGGTTATAAAGGAGTACCTCGTGGTTCACTCTGTCGAACGCCTTACGAAAGTCGATGTACATCACGTCAACATCCTTCTGTTCATTGAGAGCTCATACCCACTGGTGGTTTGCGTACACTAAGTTGGTGATGCAGGATGGCCCTTTCGTAAAGCCGTGTTACGCTGGTGTCAATACGACCATCGATTCGAAGAACGACAGCAGACACTTTTCACAACGTTCTCGAGAACTATGGATAATATCGAAGTCAAACTGATCGGTCTATAGTGCTCTATTTTACTCGAATCACTACCCTTAGGAAGCGGTCCCGCTATCGAGCATTTCCAGTCGTTGGGACAGATCCATCAGAGAGTGGTTTATTGAATAGGTTTGTCACGGCTTGTGAGTTAATAATTGATAGGGACTTGAGTATTAGTGGGTGAAGTCCGTCTGGTCCGAGGGGGGGGGCTTGCACCATCGAGGTTGACGAGCAGCTAATATACTTCGACTGCATCACATTGTAGGCTATCGAGCAAGACTGGATCAAGCTGTGCCGGTACTGAAACAGCCGCCGGTTTACTGGAAAACACGGTGAGGAAGTAGCAAATGTGTCCGCGTGCTCCGCGCTCGAAATGAGCGTCTGTCCGTCGAAGATCTCCGCAGGTTTCAGTTGACGTTTCAAATAGGCAAATATTCTTTTGGGTGTAGTTGTGGCCGAGGATGCTAGCTCCTCTTGGAACTGCCAGCGTTTCTTCGTCTGTGCGGCGTTACATATGTTATGATGTTTCTTGTGCATCGTGTAATCTCCATCACAACCCCAGATGATGTATTTACCCAAAGTTTGTGACGCCGTCGCGCTAACTGTCTATATTCCATACCAAACCAATGCGGTTTGACAGGTCCGATTTTTGAATACTTAAGGGGAACGAACCGAGTACACAGCGAGTTAACCTTCCCCTTCATTAATGACCAGCAGGCCTCAAGCGACGCATCAGTCTGACTTGCGGCTTGGACGAGCACGCTGAAGTCTGTCTTCCGTTGGTAACGGCAGTTCTATGCTTGCCACAATGGAGCATTGGTCACTGTTCGCTAGAGGTTCGAGGACTCTGATCTCGTTCAGGTTCAGCTCTCAGCTCGTAAAGATTAGGTCCAGACAAGATGCTGAGTGCGGAGTTATGCTAGTCGGTTGGAGGACATGTTGCGTTGCCCCGATTTCAATAGTCATTTTAGCGAATTGAGCCTCAACGTCACCATGACTGGAAATAAGCCGAACGTCTGACAAGAAAATCTTAGGTAAATTTAGATCCCCATCAGTAAGAACTGAGGACGGTTCATGTGCCTCTGTATATGTGGTAGCCAATCGCAACAACGGTTTAATGGGCTACGGTAGATAACACCCACTATTAGTTCTGCGCGTCTGAGGCGGATTGTGCACCACAATTGCTCGCATAAATTGTCCTCGCTCCGATAAGTGCTGGTAAGTTTACCAGATAGTGACGATTTTATGCACAACAGAACACCACCGTGAGGCTTTGATTTTCGGTCGCATCGGAGACTTCTAGGGGTATGATGTCGGAGTTCAGTCAAGTCTCCACAAGTCCTAAAACGCCCGGGCGCTCCGAGACAGCGAAGCGGCACAGTTTGTCACGTTTATTCATTAGGCTGCGCACGTTGGCAAATGCCACACAGAGGTCCTGGGAGGTGCCGCGGGATGTGCATGGAGGTTGGGAAACCAGTTGATACGGGTTCGTACACCCTACTTGATCACCCGAAAATTTACAATTTGTAGGTCAGCCTCACTTTCTTCTGTACGGCGTTTGAGCTCAATGACCGCAGTCTTCAAACGATCCCTGTCTTCGGGTTCCAAGTCTCGGCGGATGTGAACCTTTATGTCTTTCAGCCTTGACAGACGAGACAGTATGAGCTACGGCATATTGTGATTTGCAAAGGTGATTCTCAGAGGTCGACATGACGGGTTAGTTTTTTGGCCAAGTCGGATTACTTGTTTAGTCGTCACACTGCCTTCACTCATATCCAAGAGTCTATACAACTTCCTACTAGGATACAAATGCATTCTGAGTACTGGTCTCCGTAGCCAATCAGTGCAGCGCCATGGTTGCATATTCGGCTGTTCTGGAACTGCTGCCTGAGCAATAGGTCACCACACATCGTCTGGAGATTCTCAATGCTTACCGACACATTCTGGCTATAAGGGAACACAAGGAAACTCGCAATCTGAGAACAAACCTGCATAGTAGCTTGAAAATAGATCGTCAAGCCTAGTGGTCTCATTGTGCGTCGGGGACGTCAACGGCCGCTGACCTTGGTAACCATTGGGAAATAATCCGTCTGATATAGGAAATGGGCGACAAGAGACCTAATGTTAACGAAACTACATGCGACAAGAGGAGATAGTATATCCGCGTATTGTCAAAATTTCGGAATGTTGGGCTTAATATGTTAAAGCGTGATTTACTTGGTCCGAATTACGAATCTTGTTGATGGTCATTGATCATACTACTACTAACGTCGTCCCTTTGGATCCACCCCCTGGCGCAAAAGTCAAAAGTCAGGTCGCAAAGCTGAAATCGAAGAACGTTGTAGAATAAGATG